TTGGGCGGTTGCTACTTACACCTTACTGTCTGATGCATTCCACATTGTCCTTGGATGTTCATGGTCTTCCTGTAAATTTCTGCTGCTCAACACCTTCCATTTATTTAAAGTGATTAAACCATCATGTAATTGATTTGTTTGTTGGTGCGCCCCATATATATGTTATCACGTGATGGAGTGACTGTATATGGAATTTGGGTTGGTAATTGAATTTATTGAACACTTACAGATCATAACGACAAGTAACAATAGCACTACCACTAATTCACACATCACAGATCACTGTGGGACAGCCTGTTACAGTCTTGACAGGCGATTGCTTGTGGCAACTTCCAACGGCAGGCGTTCACGTTCCTCTAGGCTCCCGAACTATTTCCAGCCCCAGCTGCCAGCTTCTCACCGTAACAGCTCATAGCAACTGAACCACACCAGTTCTCTAACTCACTGCTCCTGACTTGACCTGCTTATGACATCTCAGCATAGACTGCATAGAAGACATTGTGCCTCTGTTGCAGTACAATTGCTGTTGAAACAGGCATATTTGCAGAGCTCTTACATAGCAATGGCTGCTGCGTAGTTGCTTATTTTGTGGTCATTGTCTAGCAGTGGGTCTACATGCCACAGTATGTCAGAAATTACGTTGAATTTTGAATGATGGCAGTGCTGTTTTAGAGGAATTGTTTTTGGAAAAGGTTGCCTGTGAAACCAAACCTGACAGAATTACCTGATTTCTTTCTCATCTAAATATCGTAATGGTCATTGTCTGGTTCCCACTAGAAATGGATGTATTTCTCTCAGTCATAACTTAACTTCAGCAGTTAGTGGTGGAGTGAATTGACCTGGAGATAAATTAAGTAGTGGCAGACACTATAAATTTCAGTAATAGCCATTATTTTACTCTACCACTGTACACTCCATTTCTCCCCACATGCTTTTGCAGTGTACCTTTGTATTAATATGCACCCCCACATTCAGAATAATCTGAAATGCAATGGGGGGAACCTTCAAAATGAAATTAACATCTTTACATTTTCCACAGATATCCTTTCCATTTGCCCACTTGATCCATTCTTAAAAGTTAGATCACAGTTTCACTCAGTGTTTTTTATCAGCAGTATCAGTTTGTTTTTGGCAAAGGTTGAAACTGCAATGTCAGCTACATAGGTGCCTCTCTCTGTTGCCTTGTGGTCCTGTCTGTAACTACCAACAAGACTGACTGCTACATAATGGCAAAATAAACACAGAATGTTAAGCCATGGGCGTTTGCACAGGAACAGGCACAGACCCGCACACGCGCCAGTAATGTGTCCTTATTGTAATTACAGATAACATAATAGTGCTTGATGTAGACACACATGTACACTTTTATCGGTATGTAGATTCTATAAGAATGTTTTGTTGTAGAAGCAATAAGGGAAACGTTTTTAAAGTCTACTGTCCAGAAGTGTTGCCGTTTCTTTCCTCATAAAGGTTACCAGCTTAATATAAAATTACATGACATTAACATATTCTGTGTGCATGTGAATTTATGTGTGATATAAACCTAGTGACATTCATTTCTGAGAAAACTGTAAACATGTACAGTGGAGACAGTATGGTACCAGTAAGAGAGGGTACAGTGGCAGGGGACATTAGTTTCCCCCTGGCATTGAAGACATTGGAGCACAGTGAGTTATATACTCGTAGAAAGACACACTCAGTCATGGAGAACTGTGGCCCTTTGGATATGTCTCGCAGCGTGGCTGACACTCTGTGTGACTATGACACCCTGGACTCTGCATCTTTGGGTGGCAGCAGTGATTGCCTAGTGCTGCCACCTGCACTACCACCGAAGCACTGCAGTTCAAGCAATGTGATCACTACACAGTTTAGGTAATGGCATACTTGTTGCCTTGTGAATGTGTGGCTTGTTCTGTATCCAGGCATTCTGTATTGTATGTTTAAAATAAAAAGTGAAATGATTTAAGCACTCCTATAGAAATAAAGGTACAGCTGTCCCTGTGCCCAGGCACCTTGCTGTGAAGTAGTGTAGAATGTGCAGTGGTAAAGTTCTAGACCGTCTTAATATCGATGCTTTGTGGTGGCAAGCAATGATCTAAGCACTTTATCATGCGCAGAGAGTACCGGCTACTTGCATGGGGTGTTCACTGGGTGTCTACAGACATTCTAGACAAAGTTGAGAGGAAATAATCCACTGCTGTTACTGGAACGTGAATTCTCTCATCTGTTCCATGACACATGTGGGCAAGGCATACATTTATGAAAATTTATTATTTACATTTAAATTAACATATATTGTGTTCAGTTAGCATTTGGGAACTGGAATATCTCAGTCAATGTAGTGACTAGATTGTGGTTTTGGTGGTTGAGGAACATGAGTTAAATTCCTGACAGGGATGGAGATACACATGTTCCCTCCACAGCCTCCAGACTATCTGTGGTTGCCCATCCAGTGGATGCTGGTGACTCTTCCTGGGGATAAAGTGACCGGGGCATGAAATACTGTATTTACGCATGTATAGGCTGCATGCATGTATAGGCCGCAGCACAATTTTCAGACAGAAATTATAGAAAAAATAATTTTCTTGGAATATTATTTCAGGAGTAGAACACCCTGTATTACTAATTATGAATATATTTTTTTTTAAATGAAGTGTGGTTTCGAATATAAGCTGCACCCCAGTTTTCCTCTTGAATTTTTGGCAAAAAATGTGCGGCCTATACATGCGTAAATACGGTATTGCTGAAGTTAAAAATGTCTGGAGCTGTATCTCTACTCCACCATACTTCATGGCATGGTACTTAAGTAAGCACAGGGACAACTTTATCTACAGTTAGAATTCTTTGATCGAAGGAGGGTGGAGACACACATTTTTGTATGCTGGAGAATTGTTTGTGTAAGGGACTTTTCTCCAAGATCAGAAGTGGGTGGAAACATGTGGTGAAAGATGAGGTGGAGTCTGTAATTTTGGCCTATTTTCCCTATTTTGAAAAAATAAAAGGAGGCTTGAGAGGTCACCTTGCCGAATTTGTGTCTGTATGTGTATCCCTCCCTATCAACTTTTGAATGCCTGAACCTATCATCATGGAACTTGGTATGTATATCATGCCAACTGAGCCCTCCTGTCAGTAATATCAATATGACAGCCCTTCAGGTTGCTGAGGCAAAACATTAATTTAGCTTGAACGCCTGTACCAGGCTTTGTGAAACTTGGTATGTTTATATATCATGCCACCTCAGTCCATATCAGTGGTGTACATCATAAATCCTTCATCAGGAATACCAACAGTTTAACCTCTCAAATTCTTGACATAATACCCTTAATATTACTGAATTCCTGAACCGATCGTCATTGAACTTTGCATATATGTGTCATGCCATCTGAGGTCATTTCAGGGATATACATCATAAATCTTTCCCAATATTAATACCATGCAGCCTGTCAAATTGTTGAGGTAATAACCTTAAAAATACCTGAATGTCTGAACCAGTCTTTGTGAAACTTGGTATGGATATCATGCCAACTGAGGCCATTTTAATTGTGTACTTGCTAAATCACCCCCATCAGTAATACCAACACTGAAGCCTTCCACATTGTATTGTTTTATCGACTTCATTGCACTTACATAATAAAGTTTTTCTGCTTGTATCAGATATTCAAGTTACAATGAAAGGAAGATAGGCGATTAGTTCTTTCTGGAACTCCTTGCTAATTTTACATATATATTTCATGAAATTTATGGATTGAACTGCAGTCCAGTAGTATTTTCTGTTTATGAACATCTGAACAGCTAAACAGAAGAGCAAGAGAGATAAAATGGAAATTTTCAGAAGGCATAATGCTTGTCCACTTCGTAACTCATAAAAGTATATCACAGAAAGGGGTCTGTAGTTACTGAACCAAGCTACACGTACGAAGCAGTGTATATAATGTGCATTATCTCAATGTTTGTGAAAGTAGTGGTGATTGCTTCTGACAACTTGTGTCCAAGAGGTTTCTGATCACAAACCTGACTGAGGTTTCTCATGGCTTTGCTCAGCCCTTTTGGGAGAACATTAGGGTTGTACCTCATGTTAGGCCATGGCTGATTTCATCCACATTTATTAAACCCATTGTTTACTAATCAAACCATTTGACATTACATAATCTGGTTGCCAATATTGTCATCAAGTAAACCATACCTCAATAAGAGTGTCTAAATAAATACATGTGTGCGTGCATGCGTGTAAGACAAAGAGAGGCAGGGGATAGGAGGTGACATTTGGGGTTCTCAGGGTCATGACTGAGAAGAGTATCTTCTGCTTGCTTGTCTTACTCTCCAGCCCCGAAGATGGAGGCAGTACATTTGTCCTTAATGTTAGTAAACTTCTTCCAGGCACACAGAGTAGCATCCCAGAAGGTAGCACTCTTCGTGCATGTTACAGAGATGTTAGGTATGTAGAAACTTGATGTATGAGTAGGAGTTGTTGAAACAAGCTCTTTTTGGTGCATGAGATCCTTGAAAATGTGAGCTTTGAAATAGGATCTAAAGGTTTGTGATGCTGGTATATTAATACAACTGTTGTGTTTCTGGACATCATCCATTGTCCTGTCTATTGTCCTGCGGAATAGTGCATGGACTTAGGTGCTAGGCCTCATGTGCGTGGAGTTTTTTTGTAATGTTTATAATGTTTGTCTTAACTCTTGCAGTTGGTTTATGCTGTGCTTGGTTTATATGACCTATCTTCTGTTTTTGTCTGGAGATAGGAACTGGCCGTATCGATTGGGCCAAACTTGCTAGTTCCACCTCAAGACGGAAACAGAATGTAAATAAAATCAGGACAGTGGATAATGTCCAGAAACACGATAATTGTAAGCTATGCAGGTTCAGCAGACATGTTGCAGTTTGAATGGAAAAGAAGAAGAAAACTGTATTTGTGAATGGTTCAGTTTGCTGTAATATCTTACAATGTAAATGAAATGAAGGCCAATCCTGATGCTATATGTTGTGTGTTCCAGTATCAGCATGTCTTTGGGGAACATGTTCTGCTCCCGCTGTGGGGATGGGTTTGAGCCGCATGAGAAGATTGTCAACTCAAATGGGGAATTATGGCATCCACAGTGCTTTGTGTGAGTATGCACTAAACTCTGACATTCTTGTAGAAAGCAGTCAGTATGTAGTTCTAATATATAAGATTTTTAACCATCGTCCAATGTGATTGATAAAAGTTATGTTTTTAATTTTTCACCCTCTACATGTTTTGGTGGAAACAACCATCTTAAGGAGGACATTATCAACACATGAAAACCGCTACAGGGTGTTCAATCATCAAGGAAATGGGGGGATCAGCGTGAGTTGGATACAACATTTCTCACATATTGCTGCTGTAACTGCCACTAGCAGAATGAGTCATCAGCGCTGATGAACGTGCACACTCTCGCTGGCGTAGAACGGATGGATCGTTTCTCCGTGACTACTGTGCCCTTCCCATCTAGCGAGAGTGCAGTCGTGTTGCCGATTCCCTCCCATCAGTTTATGTACATGCACACATTTATAGGAATACTGCAAAAAGATAACAAACATACCATGCTTTATAACAGGTGTTGGAAGTGACCCCCTTCTGCTTGAAAACACACCTTGCATCACATAAATAAAATATGCGACACTTTCTGAAGTTGGTCCACAACAGTTGAACTAATTACACGTGTAAAATCCTCACACTATACAGAAAGTTCCATTAAATAGTGAAAAGGTGGAGGTGTGGTGTCTTGTGCTGTGCTGTAAGTCTGTGCCAAATAATTGGCCCCTTTTTTCACAAAACCATGAACTCTGACTGCTACGTTAATGTTATACTGAATCCGTTCTTCTGTCAGCTGACTGCTGAAGAAAGACAATGCTACGGCACCTGCGGCTAATGCATTCATGGTCGCAATACAGGAAGACAGAATAATCAGCAAAGGACTGTGGCCTCCCAGATCCCCAGATCTAAGGTTTTTGTCCGGCTACTCCTCTTGCAGTGACTATTCTCTGGCTGTTACATCCACTCCATTAAGAGTGTTCGTCCATGGTCCAGCATTCGTCGATCCCGTCGTTTCACATTCACTCATCACTTTCATCCATCGAACATTCATTCTCGCTGGGGAGACCGGTACGTCTACGTTACCGGCTCCTCCTCTGCTTGAAGTATCTTTTTCTGTTTTGGAGGGGGTTGACCCCTGCACAAGTTCCATTTCCCCATTTTCAGTAACCCACTGGAAATTCCTACTGCTCGCTTCACAATTTCCAGCTCTAGTGTCTTCTTTTAGAGTCTTATAGGCAGGTCCTATTTTTCCGAGAGGTGATAGATGTCTTGAGCTGCACCCTCTGATACTGATCGCGGTTGCTCTCTTCTTTCTCTTGTATAGCAGCTGCTTTCCACCTCGGTTCTTAATTCCATTTTTGCATTGAGGTCTCGTTTGATATCTCCTCCCAAGCATCCGTTCTTTCGGGGTTCCTTGTACCACATTGCCATTGCTTTGTTCATAATGCCTGTGACCTGCACAGCATGTAATCTTCCTTATGGCTGCAGTTACTTCTTTTTGTGGGTCATAATTTTTCTGAAGATGTTCCTCTTGCGCCATGCCACTCTTGCATGATGGGACACCTTCCTGCTGGTTTTCTTCTGCCGTGCCACTTTTGCATGGTGGCTCGTCCCTCTGCAGGCGATGGCCAATCCTCTTTGGCACCCATCCTTTTTCTGGGTCCGTTTCTTCATTTTTGCTGGTTTCAGTCCCTACGCCTTTTCTTCTTCAGTTCTCCGAGTGGCATTACTTTGACCTCTTCTACGGGGACTTCTCATTGTTGGGCCACCTCAGGTTTCCTGTCCACTGAGTTTGGCTCTTCTCCTTCTAGACGTGCCTCCATCTCTTGGCAGGCCATCATCTCTTCTTCTAGATGTACCTCCATTGTTTCTCGGCAGGCCATTGTCTCCATGTCTCTTTCTGGTATGGTTTTGGCAACCATCTTCTTGTGACTGGTGCCCATATTTTCTCGCATGGCTCTCGTCCTTTCTTTGATCACTCTTGTTTCTGCTCGAGTGTCTTCCGTCCTTGCTTGGATAGCTCTTCTTTCTGCGGCCATCTCTTCTCTCCAGGCTTTCGAGTCATCATCCATTTTTGCCAGGAAATCTTCTTTGTCTTTCTTACTATCAGCTCTACTGCTATCACAAATAGCATTAAAAACTGACACACATCTCTGAGCCCACAAGCAAAGAGTCAAGTTGCATGATGTACCTTCTGAGAAATTTAAACTGTGTATTGAATGAACCATTGTAAAACTTTTAGGGGATCATAAAATGCTTTGTGTACTTTGTGCTGGATGAATGAATGAATACATTTTCCCATTGAACATATCACACATGCATGCATGCACCCACCCACATGAGTTTTTAAGTTGTATTTGTCTTTTTCAGTATATGTTGTATATGTTCTTCCCCTCCCAATATTAACTGTTTAATTTCAGTCAGGCTCCTTTGTCAGGAAAGTAAAGCATAAGTTACTGTATCTTGAGTATGATACTTTATGTCTATCAGTTAAGCTTAAGAGCTTCTTCAAATAAGCATGGTGGAGTACTTAGTGCCACTGTCATCTTTGCAGTTGTGCACAGTGTTTCCGAGCTTTCCCAGAAGGAATCTTCTATGAGTTTGAGGGTCGTAAGTACTGCGAACATGACTTCCATGTACTGTTTGCACCATGCTGTGGGAAGTGCGGTGAGTAGCAGCTTCGTTATTAGTATCTTACAGTAGGCCAGGACTCCACATCTTTCTTGGCGTACGGGGAATATTCGTTTGAAATTTGTTGTGTGAGAAATGAAATGTATGCAGAATTTTGCCAGAGAAACCTTGTGGATGGCAGCTACTAGAAGCAATGACATATAAATTAGTGTACTTGTGAAAATGGCTTTCAGAGGAATAGGTCTCAGTAACGTTGACTATATTGAACTGTTATATTCCAGCATCCCGTTGTATCGAGGCATCATCCTATTTTACTAACATATCCATCAATAATACAACTTTAAAAAGACATTAGGAATATGTTGTTCATTAAAAATGCATTTTAATACTATGACAGTTCAAATCAATAAAATCCCTTAGGCCTTTACACAGTTCATAAATCTACACATTAAAAGTGAATGTTCATACTCCTCAAATTGTCTTGGTTTTACATATATTTCTACTAATTTATATTCACATCATGTTTTGGCCTCATTGGGCCATCATCAGGTGAATTCTGTCCTTGAGTGAGACCACTGCACTGTATTTGTTTCTCGTGCTTCTCTCATGCATGTCATTATTTTACTTCATGCAAGTTGTTAAATTTCATTTTTATCCAGCTATTTTGCAGCTGTTATTGCTGTAACATACAACACATACGAAGGGGGACCCAAAAATAACCGGAACTGACCTGTTGTGCGCCCATGCTTTGTAGTTACGAGTTGTGCTGCAAGGTGGTGTTAGCTGGGGGTCTCCTGTGACTGTTAGTGAGCTGGCGTCAGTCTGAGTTAAGTGGTTTGTCTGTGGTGCTCTGTTGTGTGCGTTCCTGTTTCAACCCTTTGGCGATTAGTGAGATGGCCGACCAGAAGGAATAGAGTGTGCATGAAATTTTGCTACCCGTAGCACCAAGACTCATCGCCAGTCACAATTCTTTTAAGAAATTCTGGATCGAAGAAAGCAGTCTTCTGGGATTTGGCGCCGTGTATAAATTCTGGATCGTTCTGCACTTCACTCTTCAAGTCGCGGCAAACATTCACGCGGTTTTCTCTTTGGTCATCTCCGAGCAAGCGAGGAACAAATTTTGCAGACACCCGTCTCATGTGCAAACCTTCGGTTAAAATTCGCTGGACCGTGCTCCATGAGATGTTCGTTTCCTCAGAAAGTTGGTCAATGGTCTTTCGACGATCTTCATCAATTGCATGTTTGATTTTGGCAATGTTTTCATCATTTCTTCCTGTCGAAGGACGCCCGGGCTGTGGTATGTCTTATGTTGACATGTTGCCAGATTTGAAACGGGAAAACCACTCATAGACCTGTGATTTCCCCAAAGCATCATCATTAAAGGCTTGCCAAAGCATCCCAACAGTCTCGGCTGCAGTTTTCCCTAACGGAAAGCAAAATTTCACGCACACTCTTTGTTCCTTCTGGTCGGCCATCTCACTAATCGCCAAAGGGTTGAAACAGGAACGCACACAACAGAGCACCACAAACCACTTAACTCAGACTGACGCCAGCTCACTAACAGTTGCGGGAGACCCCCAGCTAACACCACCTAGCAGCACAACTCGTAACTACAAAGCATGCGTGCACAACAAGTCGGTTCCGGTTATTTTTGGGTCCCCCTTCGTAAATTCAAAAAAATAACTTTTTCAATGGGAAATAGAAATTCACTTTGCACCCTCTTCTTACTAGTACTTATACTAATGCACTCTCTATCCATATAACCACTAAAACACATTTTGTGCAAATCACTGTACATACTTCACACGAGATCATTAATAATTGTGCAGGAATAACCTCAAAGACACATTGTCTTTCACTACACACCCACTATTCTTATATGCACTTACTTTCGTTAAATCAATAAATGTACATTGTGGTGTATTCTTCCTTCACACATACTTCAGTTTCATGGTTCAGAGGGAAAACACTTCGATTTCGTTGTGGAACAGAGGAAACACATTTGTAAAATTTCGTGAACTCACCATTACTTGGTCCAGGATAATACACACATTGAAGCCTACCATTTGCACTATCTCACTGAATCTTTTAAGATATACGATGGGGTACCCAAAAGAAACTGAACTAATTTTTTTGTGGGCAGAGCTCATATAGTACCGAGTTTTGCCGCTATGAGTGCATAGAGCTAACATTCCTGACTCGATAAGCCGACTACCGTTGCTTCAGAAGGTAAGGACTAGTTTCGGCAGAGTTTATAGTGACAACTGTTTTGTGTGATCGTCGTTTTTGCAATGGCTGATTTTCGTGAACAGCGTGCGGCGGTGAAATTCTGCTTTTTGCTCGGGAAAAGTGGAACAGAAACTCTTGAAATGTTAAAAACGGCGTACAAGGACGATGCTATGGGGAAAACTCAAGTGTTTGAGTGGTTTTCCCGTTTCAAAAATGGTGAAATGTCAATTGATGACAAACCTCGTTCTGGTCGTCCTTCCATGGCCCGAACACATGACAATGTTGAAAAAAATTGTGAAATCATCAGGGAAGATCGACGACGGACCATTGAAGAAATTGTGGAGCTGTCGGGAGTGACCTGGAGCTCAGCGGCCAGATTTGTGGCAGTCGGGTGACTGGTTTTTCCATCATGACAATGCCCCTGCTCACACAGCCCTGTCTGTATGACAATTCTTGACCAAAAATGGTATGACCCTTGTTCCTCACCCTCCATACTCACCCGACCTTGCCCCGTGCGACTTTTTTTTGTTTCCTCGAATGAAAAGAGACATGAAAGGAAAAAACGATGGAGGCGCTGTCAAGCATCTCAAAAGATGAATTTAGACAATGTTTTGAAAAATAGAATAAAAGACTAGACAAGTGTATCAGTGTAAGTGGAGAGTACTTTGAACGGGATTGAAGGTTTGTGCTTAAAATTTGAATAAATAAGTTTTAAAAAAAATAAGTTCGGTTTCTATGGGTACCCCCTCGTATTACTGTTTAGTGTAAAGTATACTTATTTTTTATTAATATTTATTTATAATTGTATTTGCATTGTATTCATTGTTTGTAATGTGTCCTATTGCTTGTGTAGCTTTGTTTGAGTGTGATGTGTTATTTATGTGATGTGTCTTATTGTAGTATCACTGTTACTGGGTAAAAAAACATTTGCAGTTTAAATAAGTAAATAATAATAATAAGATCCCGAAGGGACTTGAGAAGACCATATTGCAGGACACTCTGTGACTGAGTTGTGAACTCAGCTGCCTGTATTAGTTACTTTAATTTTCACTTTTCTTCTTACAGGAGAGTTTGTGATTGGTCGAGTGATCAAGGCCATGAACTCCAACTGGCATCCACGCTGTTTCCGTTGTGAAATGTGTGACAAGGAATTAGCGGATCTTGGCTTTATACGCAACCAGGGACGCGCACTGTGCCATGAGTGCAATGCCAAGGCGAAAGCTGTTGGCCTTGGAAAATATGTGTGCCATAAGTGCCAGTAAGTATGTGTTCAGTATACTGCAGCACGAGGCGCATGTCCATCACCCAACCTGTTGGAATACATAACATTGTCTGGAAACTAATAGCATGCAGTCTTTCTTGAATTCGCGTTTTTTCCGAATGTAATGGTTTATGCTGCTTTTATTATTATTATTATTATTATTATTATTATTAGGTTCATCCTGGTCCATCGCACTAGCAGTATTACAAAGAGTAAATCAACCCATCCAGTGTGACTAATAAAATGTTTTTCTTTCTTTCCCTTTCAATTTTTCATCCTTGACATGTTTCGGTCTTAGAGACCATCTTCAGAAGGATATATCAATATGGGTAGAAACTGCTATAATAGTGTGTTTGGTCAATATCAGTACATACATACAATATCATCACAATGTCATGAATTTAAAATCTGATCCTTTAACGACTACAGTGACATGCATGAATACATTAAAATATTTATAAATTATTACAATTTGTTTACAAGTGTGGTATAAAAAGATTTTGTCAAAATTTGTAGAACCAATTTGGTTCATGTCCTTTATATTGCCTCTCTTTAAAGGAAGTTAAGTGTCTACCACCTTTTGGTTCTGTCATTTGATAAATAGGCCTGTTTAATGTCATCCTGTGGCTTGGGCTGTGCTCTGTGTGTGTGTGTCCGTGCGTCTATTTCTGATGAGGTTACCATTGGCATACAGCCTAACTTTTGCAAGATTGGCAACGCTACTCAGTCCAAGCAGTGTCTCAGCTGTCACAGTTTCTTATTGTTTACATAAATGCACATGGTTTAAATATTTGGATCAACAGTAACAGAATGCATATACAGTTTTGGGAAAGCCAGAAGGAAAGGAGCTGTTAGGAAGAGCTAGACATAAGTGGAACGATAATATTAAAATGGAACTTATGAGGGCTAGGATGGGGTAGTATGGACTGGGATGATCTATCTCAGGATAAGGACCATTGGAGGGCTTTTGTGGATATGATGAGGAACCTTCAGGTTCCATAAAATGTTGCTAAATTCTTTAGTAGCTGGCTGGCTGACGGCTTCTCAAGAAGGGATAAGCTCCATGGAATTAGCACCTAAATGCAACTGCAGTCTGAAGTGTAGGGGTGGATGTTAACACTTCCCATCTGGTAGTAATATTACCATATGGCTCTTTCTTCCAGGTCACTGGCAGTATTGATAGTATTAACACAGTATTTTGGTCGCACCATAGCTCAAGCGGGTAGTTGCAGGCTTCCCACTGCGGTGGCCCTGGTTTGATCCTGCGTCTGGTCAAGTGGGATTTGTGGTTGACAAAGTGGCGCTAGGGCTGGTTTTCTCAGAGTACTTCGGTTCTCCATGCCAATCTTCATTCCACCAGTTGCTCCACAATCACCCTCACCTATCATCTGGGGCTGGTACAATAGGCCAGATGTGGCCGTGGTACAAGGGTCTTAGTCCCACCCCACTAGCAATGAAAAGAAACACGGTATTTTAATAATCAAGAAACCAGAACTAATGCAGTGTTGGCATGATATTATGACCAGCCATTAGCTGCAGGCTTCTAGTTTTAGTGGGTGCCAGAAGAGTTCATCAACTCATGATAGCACAAGACTACTGCCATCTCAAAACAAACCTTTGACTGAATTCTGCACAAACAGTATGTATTTGGTCTTCATTCATGAGCAAGGAATCATTGCCTTAATACTGTGGTGAAGTCAAGGCACTACCTATAGCCACACTAAGCACACATATGCAGGAATATAAAAATTCATGTAAAAATACAAATGCACCACTCAGAACACCATCCAGTATATTCATGACTTGTGTCATATATACTATATATGAGAGGGTACCCAAAAGAAACCAAACTTTTTTTTTTTTAACTTATTTATTCAAATTTTAAGCACAACCCTTCAATCCCGTTAAAAGTACTCTCCACTTACACTAATACACTTGTCTAGTCTTTTATTCCATTTTTCAAAACATTGTCTAAATTCATCTTTTGAGATGCTTGACAGCGCCTCCGTCGTTTTTTCCTTTCATGTCTCTTTTCATTCGAGGAAACAAAAAAAAAGTCGCACGGGGCAAGGTCGGGTGAGTATGGACTATGAGGTAAAAGGGTCATACCATTTTTGGTCAAGAATTGTACAGACAGGGCTGTGTGAGCAGGGGCATTGTCTTGCTGGAAAAACCAGTCACCCGACTGCCACAAATGTGGCCGCTGAGCTCCAAGTCACTCCCGACAGCTCCACAATTTCTTCAATGGTCCGTCGTCGATCTTCCCTGATGATTTCACGAATTTTTTAAACATTTTCATGTGTTCGGGCCATGGAAGGACGACCAGAACAAGGTTTGTCATCAATTGACATTTCACCATTTTTGAAACGGGAAAGCCACTCAAACACTTGAGTTTTCTCCATAGCATCATCCTTGTACGCCGTTTTTAACATTTCAAGAGTTTCTGTTCCACTTTTCCTGAGCAAAAAGCAGAATTTCACCACCGCATGCTGTTCACGAAAATCAGCCATTGCAAAAACGACGATCACACAAAACAGTTGTCACTATAAACTGCCGAAACTAGTCCTTACCTTCTGAAGCAACGGTAGTCAGCTTATCGACTCAGGAATATTAGCTCTATGCGCTCATAGTGGCAAACGCCGTATTGCAAAAGCTCTGCCCACAAAAAAATTAGTTCGGTTTCTTTTGGGTACCCCATCGTATATGTGTGTGTGTTGTTTATTTTTACAGCTTTTACAAACTGTATATTTCACATTTTATTATATAATGGCCAAAATATGACGTGTTATGCGATGGTACAGAAACCTTGACTCAAGACACAGAGTTTGGGCCCTTTCCTGTTTATGAGTTCAGAGACCCAAGGTAACCTAAGTTCTGAGAATGGTTCAAGCAAGATGGGTATTCAGCATTGTTGTATAAATTTGAGTTATTCTTCGAAGGCAAAACATTTTTCTTGACGGGCAATAGCAGAAGTTATAAATGATTCAGATGCAGAAGTATGTACAGAAATTCCTGACACAGTTTCAGAGAACACATTTTTGTGGTAGCAGTAGCAGTCATAGTGATGAGGAAGTTCCTGTTTCTCTAAAATCAAGAAGAGGTTGTAAAAGACATGGAGAGCAAAACATAATAAAGAAAACTTGGGTGGGAGCTTATTGAGGGGTGTGGAGTATTTGAAAAAATATAAACTTGTCTCAGAAGAATTGTTTTTTACCTGAGCGCACTGCATCTGATGCTTTCAGTGGGCTCATTGATGATAAGCCATTGCGTTTTCGAGGTGAGGTGTATCATGGCTACCATTTCAATTGTACGGCTTGCGGTGTAGAGCTCAATTCAGAAGCTCGAGAAGTACGCTGCCGTCCTGGATTTGCAGCCAATGAGATGGTAAGCTCGAGAATGTTTCATATGATGTCTTATCAGTTAGAAGAGTGTTCTGAATTGCAGGCCACAAAGAGAGATGTGTGTTATATTTTCAGAATGAGCTGTATTGTTTGCGCTGTCATGATAAGATGGGCATTCCCATTTGTGGTGCTTGTAGACGACCAATCGAGGAACGTGTGGTTACTGCACTTGGGAAACACTGGCATGTTGAAGTAAGTTTTGCTATCATTTATAAGAAATACATGTTTATTAACAATCATGCAAAATCTTTTGCTACAGGTGAGACTAGGGTGACCAACTTTCAGCCATTAACCCTTTGACGTGGTCATTTAAATTCCGCGGCCGCGGCTCCTGCGGTAATATATTCAGCCGGCCATTTAAATTTTGCTCGAAAATGATTTATTCATCATTGTTCTTAAATTCTATGAGATAGGAACATGAAACTTTCACTAAAATGATCTTAAATGGTGGTTTTATAACCTTACCTTATAATATGGGCGCCCTGTATCTCGGCCATGGAAGCAGGTTGTTTAGTATTTGAGCAGTGAATGGTACGCCTTGAAGGATGAAACTTTCACTAAAATGATCTTAAATGATGGTTTTATAACCTTGCCTTATAATATGAGCACCCGGTATCTCGGCAATGCAAGCAGGTGACGCCTTGAAGCATTAGTCTAAACACAGCGCTGGCTCACATTCACCAAACNTTATAACATAGGTGTGCAGCTGGACGAAACATACACGTCGAACCCCCCCCAGACGATTTAAATCCCTGACGAAACATACACGTCGAACCACGGCAACGGGTTAATTTAGCCTTTAAAAGCCAGACTTCTGAACTGGTGGTAAGCTTGAGCTGGCCGGAGTTCATTTAAATGCCCGTTGCTACTCTGCGTTTAAATGTCTGTTCCTGTTAGGGCGCTTAAACAATTGTAAGCATTATGTTTAAAAATGTTGTATCTAACTCAATTTTATGATAAGTGGATGGAATTAACTTTTTTTGTATCAGCAAAGAACATAGTGTCACATATTAAAACGGAAGATTTGAAAATTTTTATACAAAGAGTTATATTCTATTTTCAGTTTTTTCTTTTAATTTTTATGCCTACTGCAAAAATGGTTTCCCATTTCTTCACAGAGTTGTTCTGCATTATAGATTCATTTCTGTTTGTAACACTTGACAAATTTTAGCAGTCCCTGGTGTCATAAAACGGAAGTGATAAAATCATTCGGTCTTCTGCTACCGTGCGTCGGGTGGCACTAGCGCCATCTGTAGCTGATAGCAGAAGTTCAGTTGAAGCAGTGCAGTGAGTGGCCGTGGTTGTGTGTTTCACTGAGTTGCATTGTCTTGAAGTGCAGGAGCCCAGTTCAAGCACCCTAACAACATGTTTACAAAACAAGAACAACGCTCCTGGATAATAATTGAAGTTGCACGATGTCGTAGTGCACAAAACTGTTATCAGGGATTGCGAGAAGCATGTGGTGATGCTGCTTTGCCATATCACACAGTGGCACAATGGGTGAAATTGTTCCGTGAAAGGAGGGATGCCATTCCGGACAGCCATTGTTCAGGACAACCACACAATGCAGCTTCTTGTTTCTCTGCTGGATGTCGATCATCAGTGGGCTGGGCAGGAGTTAGCTGCTGAGGTAGGCGTATGTTACAAAACTGTGCTCCACATTCTGCATGATATACTTGGATACCACAAAATTGCAGCGTGTTGGGTACCCCATACAATGTCCGAGGTGCAACAATGGCAATGTCATGCAATTGCACAGGACTTGTTGGACTGGGACCAGAGGGAAGGTGACGACTTCCTTCGAAGGATTGTCGGTCTAGACGAAACTTGGGCTCACTCATACGAACTGCACTTGACACGACAATCGAATGGAAGCATCCTGGCTCTCCTCATCCAAGAAAGTGCGTCCTGCACAGAGTAATGTGAAGGCGATGTTCATTGTGGCTTATGACATTGATGGAGTGATACTGCACCACACTGTACCTCAACTACAGACAGTAAACGCTGCCTACTACTGCAGTTTTCTGCATAATCATCTTCGTCCAGCACTCAGGAGAAAGCGTCGACACTTGTTGGCAACGAACCCCATCATCCTTCATGACGATGCAAGGGCTCATACTGCTGACACTGTCAAGGAACATCCACCATACTCACCCCATATGAGTCCGTGCGATTATGGTCTCTTTGTCAAAATGGAAGAACCACCGTGAGGGACATGTTAGAACACGAGAGGAGATTATTCGTGCTGTAGGGTGGTCACTGCTGGACATCAAGAGAAGTGGATGTGCTTATGGTGTACGACGCCTTCCACAAATTTGGCAGAAGATGGTACACATGGGCAATTATATTGAAGGAATGTAAGTGTGTTTACCTCGAGTAATAAAGTGATTTCAGAACTATAGAGATGCTGCCACTACTTTTTATCTGACCTTTGTAGATGTCTTGTATATTTAAGAAAATATATTGTATTATTGACGGGTGCTTTAATAATAAGGATAATCATCGTATTCCAATTGCCAGTCACACCGATCTTCCAGTCTAGGCCTTTTTGCCCATGTATCACTCATTAATTCTCCATCATTTTTCTTGTTTTCTGTATCAAAGAAAGTGTCTCATCAGATTTGGAAAAAATCTACTTCCACTCATAATTACACACTTACATACCATCACTAGGCTGTTCCAGAGCTTCCAGTGTATAATTTGTTTGCAGACCATGCAGTGTACTAGAGAGTGCCATTTTGAAACCACTAAATCATTGATTTGAATGTCACAAAACATTCCAAATAGCTCTTTATATGATCATTCAGAGGAAAGAATCAGTTTGTACAGTGAAAACTACAGTCTTCACAGGTATAATTCTTCATTTAGCTTAATTTTCTAATGGATTGCAGAGCAGTGACCATTTTTCTCTGATCTTGAAGTTGCTGAGGACATAATACTTCAACTGCTGCGAATAATGTAGTTTGAAGGCTGGTTAGTACATAGGTTACTGGCTTGAGGGCTTAATTTGAAAGATGGCATTCCATGGCTCTGTGTGCTTGCTAGTGTGTAGGGCAGTACCATAAAGTATACCAGCATCTGTGTTCTACTGCAATAAGTAATGACTCTTGTTGTGTATGTGTAGCATTTTGTGTGTGCCAAGTGTGAGAAGCCATTCTTGGGACACCGCCACTATGAGAAGAAAGGCCTGGCTTACTGTGAGACACATTACCACCAGCTGTTTGGAAACCTGTGCTTCGTGTGTAATCAGGTTATTGCTGGTGACGGTATGTATTTCAGTTGCATTCTGGATGTATCTATATGGGGATGCCAACATTACTAAAGTCTTGAAAAATTCCATTTGCTGTGTCACTTTGCACTTCCATAAAATCCACAAAAGACTGGTAATACGGTAAAAATGTAAAGTTTTCCCTCTATTTAATTAAGCACCATGCTGTAAAGAGATATGGGGGAGTGAGGGTATAGGTCTGTCATTCTTGACCTTGGCACTAGATGGAGGTGAGTGGTCAGGTTCAAACCCCTGCTGCTTTACCCCCAAGGAAAGAGCCATTGGTATCCATTGTATAGGGAGATGGGTGAGCCCCAGAGCCAGGCATGGAAGCTGTGGAGTACAGAGAAATCTCTTGGCCCTATCAAGAATTAAACCCCAAATCATTGATTGTCCAGGCCATAGCCCATCACTATACCAACTTAGAATTCAAGAATAAATCAGTTAATTATTAGTATATCGTTTCAAAATACCGATTCATGTCCAAGACTAAAATATAGCAAACAACTGTTTTGCCTGTTGTATGAGTGGGGATTTCAGTCTCTCACTTCTGAGAGAAAAAGAAAGAAAGATCAGAGTTGTAAAAAGAATGTGCTGAGGAGAATATCATGGCGCAAGAATGCTGAAAAGGAAAAGTATGACTGCAGAAATTTTGCATTAAGAAGGTACACGGTAGCCATGCAGTTCGTCAGTTACATACTGTGTCAAATTTTATGTACATAAATTCTCTAAATATATTCAAAAACCAGTGGACTACCTTTTGAAGTACCTAGTTTTCCTCGTCAAATCTTTTTTGCCATATTATTCCATTACACCACTCTTTCTTCCATTCCATAATTTGCAAGACATTTGAACATCAGTAATCATTGATTTCTTGCTAAGAGTTGTTGACTCGTCAGTAAACGTTGATAATTTTTTATACAGTTATTTCGGTCACCAGAGTTCTTAGCTCATTTCTGATATGATAAACAGTGCTTGTGCAAGCATTTTCAGAATGCAAGATTTCACTCATGTCTCTGCCATTTGAGTTTTTGCAAATCTATTTCAGCTTAAAAGTTGTGAAAGGATTGATTCCTTTTGCTACTTGTATGCTGTCCGGAAAATATTTGAAGTTATTTCCTTTTTGTCATGGTTTGCACAAGAGCAATAGGAAGAATTTCTTCTTTGGCTTATGAGATTGATGTTTGCTGTAATGTGTTACTTTATGTTTAATCCATTTATTGCATATCTCATATTGGCCTTCCTCTCAATACTGAGTGTATCAATTTTGCTGCATGGCCTGCAGCCAAGCCTTTTGGTACTTAACAGTGACCCAGTCATATATGTTGGAAAATGCAGTGTTTTGCTGTAGTGGCCAACAGCATGGCCAGTGCACATAGAAAAATGAATTGCACTCTGAAGTAGTAGCAAACGGACATGCTAAAGAATCAGGAACAGTGGCCAAAGAAGCAGCAGAAGATGAAGTTGCCTAATACTGTGGTGACAGTGATTCACTTCCAGTTCATTCTCCATGTCTTTGGTTATCTATGAAAAATAATAACTTGTAAACTTTTTCATTTTTAAGGGTGATTTTATTAAACTCAGTATTCCCACTGGCTTGAAATTCATAAAAAAAAATTGTTCTTTGCAGTCATTCAAGCATGAATTTTAAGATGATACAACTATCTAGGACTGGATCAGGCAGTGAACTGTTAAGTTTATTGTGGGATGTGGGCCATGAGCAAGAACTGGCAACCCTGCTCATATTTGTTAGAAGGAAGTGTGGTAGGATAGCACGACACACCTGTCTGCATACAACATTTGCTGTAAGATTAATCCCGATGTAAACATGGGAGTGAATAGCCGTCTTCCTGAAGTTGCTGTAATAGGCATAATAATAGAAAATAGAAATAGAAAATATCAACACAACATATAACTCACTCACTATCAAATATCCTTTTCATACTGTAAGGGCAACTTTAATAATATATAACCATTGTTAACCGTGATGAATTACAGGAACAGTTAATTGCTGACAGGTAGTGGATTTTTCCTCGTAAGTCAAGAGTCAGAATTGAACATGTGGCTGGAAGTTTTATCATCTCTGGTGTTTATAACAAGTGTGTTATCAGTAAGGCTGCCCAATTCCCACAACCTTTGCTCTTCCAGGATGATGTGATGAGTAGCAACTTGCTGCCTCTCAGTAGTGATATCTCTTAGCCTTGCTTCTACCTGCTGGCACACCTTCCGATGTTTGAGATTTTATGTCTAGCCACATCTCCATTCAGTTTACTCTGCACAATCTTGCTAGGATTCACGTTGACTGGCAGACTTGTAATGATGTGGCCTGCTTCCTTCCTACATTAGTCTATAATATACACTCAGTCCCACCATCACAGAGTCTGCCTGCCTTGAAAGTTTAGTTTATACCAGTGCCAGGAAGATGAGATTCTGGAATGCTATTCCAGCTTGTGTCCTTCTGAGAAAGAGTTCCCAGAACAGCATCGTGGCACATTGTGACCCAAAAATGCACCTGCCTAACACTAATAGTAATGTAATGACCTGTACATATACAAGATTGCTTTCTGAAAGTGAAATATTTTGTTGTATTTTGTCATGTTAGTGCCCAGCATTGGTTATATTTGGTAGTCTTGACAAAGCACTGGATAAAGAATGATATGGGAGTGAACATGTAAGTTTCATGTGCCATTTTGAGATTGTATCAGTTGTTTGAGAGGTTCCTTAGATTATTAGGTATCTTGTGTTCATATAGCTGTGGAATGTTAAGAGGCTAAATGGTGGTGTTGATCATTGCAATATTGGAAGTCTAAATAGGATACCTTTGTTCTTTTATTTATTTAATTTCTGTTGATCCATACTGGTACAACCATTGGATATAGAAAAGTTATATTTACAATATTATATTATATATTATGGATATAGAAAAGTGAAAAAACGATTACAAGTGTAGTACAATGATGATGATAAGACGTTCAATCATTAAAAGAGTTTGTCGAAAAAACCTTATGAAAATGTACATTATATGTTTGGATATCTTTGTTCTGTGTTAAAACTTAACAAAAGCATACATTGTATGTTTACAGTTTTCACTGCTTTGAACAAGGCATGGTGCGTGCACCATTTTGCCTGCTCTGTGTGTGACCAGAAGATGAACCAGAAAACCAAGTTCTATGAGTGTGATTTGAAGCCAGTGTGCAAGAAATGCTATGACAAGTTTCCTAATGAACTGCGGCGTCGACTGCGCAAAGCACATGAGCAGACACCAAAGAAAGCATCTGTTTAGGTATTTGATATTGCTGAATTGTATTCTCAGTTTTTGGTGTGGAAGTTTGTGGTTACATTTAATCCGGCATGAGTACATCAGTTTTCCACCACCTGTGTCTAGCTCAGGACATTTACTGCTATGCTGCCATGCAGGTTTTGCCTGCTGTACCTGTTGTTTTTGCGCAAAGACTAGACTGAAATTACATTCAGAACATGAATGAAAAACACTTGATGATTTTAGTGTTTTTCCATTCTTTTTAAGTGTTGGCAAGCTACACTTAAAACTTTGTTATATTGAAATGAAATTCATAGGAGAAAACTGTACTTATTTGCTGTTAAGGACTTAGGTGTGTCTGTGGTTGCATTAGCTATGGATAGCAATTTAATGGAGGTACAGTGTGTGTCTAGCTTACGATCTGTACACCTCCAATCTTGTGCTAATCCCACAGACTAGGTATCCCTCCACGCAAGAGGGCACTGGATATGCCCCATTCTGTATGTAATCAAGAAACTGATCCCCTCTGAATGTTCCACAAGAGTCATATTTCTTAATAGCTATTATGTGCATGTACAGGTGTTGCCACAAATCATGTGTACATTGAACGTGGTAGGTGGACCACACACCGGCATGCATCAAGACATGTAACAGTCAAGACACGATGTCTGCAACATGATGCAAAGAAAGGAGCACAGTTGAAACAAATCAGATTATGAAAACCGCCGCACACCGGTCTGAGTCATGATGCTGATGTCAGCTTAATGCTGACCAATCACGAATGAAGCAAGACTGCATCTTTTGTCTCATGTCTTGATGCTTGTCTTGACACAGTTGGTGTGTCACAGCCCTTACGTTTCTGGTAAAATACGGTCAGCTGAATTGATCACATCGTATGAGTGATCGCATATACCTTGGAATCCTTCAAATGATACAGCGAACTTGCTCAAAGGATTATACTTGACAGGTCATCAAACCCATCGTAGTCAAATTTGATCCACATTGGATGGTTCGTAACTGTGAATCAAATGTAGATGGAGCGCAAGACTTTGGTTTTGTGCTGGGATCGATCTTAGGAGCTGGCGATATCAGGCCTGGTATTGTTTTTGCACCTTGAGAGTTTTTGTTTTCTCTGATGGTCCCGTTATGTCTACAATCACACCAAAACCCACAAGATTTCTTCTTGGTCATTTTGGGTCTCGTTTCTGTGCTTCCTCCTCCATTTTTTCATGTGCTCCATTGTAGCTAGAAGTTTTATAGACATCCATCAAATACACTGATTTTGTTAAAAACAGTACGACTAAGGGGTCAGAGTTTGAGCCCCGGTAGGGTCAGGAATTTTCTCTTCTCCACGTCATCCAGACCGGCTCAGGGGCCCATGAACCTCCTATCCAATGGGTACTGGGGGCTCTTTCCTTGGGGATAAAGCCGTTGAAGAATGAAGCTGACCACTCACCTCCAGCTATTGCCGAGCTCAAGCATATGTTGATCTATACATCCGTTCACTCACCCCTTCATGGCATTTGGTTTAATTACTTAATTATTTAGGGACCTATATATATGGCTTCTAACTTTTCCAGTCAACCATGGCAGACACTCAGCCTTCATCTTGGTTCCTTCCTCTTGAGCCGGGTCCCTTGACCCTGTGGGTAAAGAACCCAGTTCTTCTACCCACTTAGACCCGTGAACCCCTGCTCAATATGGGTAAGGGACAGGCTCATAAGAAACGACTTGCTTGTAACGTGATGCACTATGCCTCCCTAAGGTCGAGTAAGGGATCTCGAGAGAGGAAAACCACTGTCGGCACTATGGGCCAGGCTGGACGGATCCGCTAGTCAGAACTGGTAGGGAACACACTGCACAAGTATACATAAACACCACTGGCGTTTCCAAACATGTAAATAAATATATATTAATAACATATGTATACAGGTGAACTCTGTCCAATGGGCAGGAACTGGTCAGAACATGTGATAAATAATTAATACAGAACTACACTGTGCCTAGCCGCACTGAACTCAAGTCAGGCACGCCTCATGGCGTCTTTCTACTTCTCCAGTACCAGCCTATACTTAGGCAAGCCTTGAGGACACTAGGAAATATAAACAGGTTACATACACGCCTGAGGGGCGATCTGCTGTTTAACACGACCCTAAACAAAACCAAATTATCTTACGCCACACGGCGTTCATAATCGAAGGAAAACAATTACTACAGTAAGTCACTTGTATTCCTGAATTACAAACTCAAAGATTTACCTCATGACTTGATCCACCCTTGATCATGTCGTGAGGGCACTCTTCCCCCTTCAAGCACTGCTGCGGGCCGAAACCGAATTTCCAACAAGATCAGTTCAACTTTACGAAACCAAATTTAGACGCAGCGATGTTACCTTTCTGAGGTCAACGGGAAGAGAGCGATACATTCATTTGTACAACGCAGGAAAGCTCGGAATGCGTCCAGGAGGGGGTGGGGACAAGGTCAGCTGACCTGACGTCAGCTAAAGACTTTAACTGGAAAGAAAGAGGAACGGCTCGCTTCCTGGCGTTTTGGGGTGGGGGACTCCAAGGAACTTCATGAAGAAGAACCGTTGCACAGTTCAGGATGTCACCCTCTCCCCAGACGCTAAAAAAAAAACACGCTCACACCTCTACACTGGGGCCACTCGCCATCCATGCATGATGACGCCTTTTCACTCCTGGGGCTCTAGCTACCTGCCAGCCGAAAACACTCTGAGCAAACAGTCCTCGCTGGTTTCCTGCCACGCAGAAACCGGCCACACATGTGCAGAAGTGCTCCCTTCCGGAGAGCTGGTGGAGCCACCCAGTCCATTTCTCCGGCACCACCATCACATAACACTTGGCCGTTCGCGTGCCGACAAGTCAGGAAGGGAGGCCCAACTTCTAGCGGCGAATTCCCGGCCCACAGGAGTCCGGAGGTCCAACTCCTCGTCGGAGACATAATACCAATACACTCTCACTGACGACACAAGTTCGTCACTGGCGGGGCCCACTCGACGTCACTCACACTCGCGAGCCGAAGGGATAGAATGGAAAGGGATAATAGACTCTGAAACACAAACAAACATTACGGCAGACACAGCAGCATCATCTCCGGGGGAAGCTCACAAACATATTTACACAATAATTGGTTGCAATAATACACAGCTTACATTTTATGGCCTACTCGCCAACCCAGTAGCTCTTCAGTTGAGACACATGAGCCTTTCTTACCAGTACATCCGTATCAGGATTCGCCAGCTGAACGGTAACCTTTGTCAGGAACTTAGCTATCACAAAGGGTTCGGACCACTTATTGTCCAACTTAGCGGAACGGTGGTGAGCTCTGGAACTCTGAGGGTGGAGCTTCACAAGCACAATGTCTCCAACCTTAAACTCTGCCTCTCTCCTCAACTCATTGTATCGCTTCGCGACCCTATCTCTAGCCTTCTTTAAATTCCCCAAGGCTAGTTCCCAATATGAGTGAGTATCCTGAGGGGATCGCTGAAGATCGTCGTCAGTAAGTTCCCACCTCAGTCCTAAGGGATGGTTCATCTCATGCCCAAGGAACAACAGGGCAGGTGTAAACCTGGTACTCTCATGCCACGCCGTGTTGAAAGCCATGGCAAGAGAAGGGAGACTCTCGTCCCATCTAGTATGTAGCGAACTATGATAAATAACTAGAGCCGCCTTCAGGTTGCGATTAAATCACTCTACCTGAGAAGCTTGGGGATAATACGGGGAGGTTGTCACATGTTTTATCCCCGAGAAGCAGGTGTTATAAAACAACCGCGACTTAAATACTGACGCATTGTCAGACACAATGCAGTTTGGAACTCCAAAACAAGGAAAATACTTCTCAACCAAACATGACACCACCGCGTCGGAAGTTATCCTCCTCACAGGATACATCGCAACAAACTTGGAAAATCCATCTAAGACCACCAAGATGGCTATATTACCACGACGACTCCGCACAATGGGTCCAACGAAATCAATAAAGATTCGTTCCATCGGTTTGTTTACAACTTGACTGTTATGAAGACCAACTCGAGTATTCTGGGCTGGCTTTGCCCTCTGGCACCCTTCACACTGCCTCACGTATTTCACTACATCCGGTCAAAGACCCGGCCAGTAGAATACTTTAGCTATACGATATAACGTCTTAGCTACTCCCAGGTGTGCACTCAACGCTGAATCGTGAAAATACTCAAGTATCATGGCCCGCAGTTCTAACGGAACCAGATACCTATTCGACTTAGTTCTCGGAGAAAAATACAGAATCGTGTCATTCACCAATCTGTAATGTGAAACCTGAGGATCTCGCCGTCTAATCTTTTCGTACACGGCTCTGCAATACTCATCTTTAATCTGATGTTGTCTAATCGACTGAAATGCCGCCCGCAAATGTTGGAGAATCAACCCTGAAAATGACTGCACAGACACATCTTCATACTGCCAAGTTAGACAGTCAGCGACAACATTAACCTTCCCTGGAATATGAACAACATTAAACTTGTACGGGGCGAGTCGCAAAATCCACCTCCCTACACGGCCTAGTTCTTTCACACGTTTCAGCAACCATGATAAAGCCTGATTATCCGTGTGGAGAGTGAACTCTTTATGCTCAAGATAGACGCGAAAGCGTTCGCATCCCCAAACTACGGCTAGACATTCCTTCTCGTAAATCGAGTATTTACGCTCCGCAGCCGTCAATAGCCGACTGGCGAAAGCTATGGGACCTAACCTTCCTCTCGACGTTGGTTGAGAACGGCCAAAACGGCAACGTCGCTAGAATCGCAGACCAAAACAAACTCCTTTGTAAAGTCTGCAACTTGCAAAACAGGGGGCATAGAAATAGCTCCTTTTAGCTGCTCAAAAGCTTCCCTTTGGGATTCTCCCCACAGAAATGTGGCGTTCTTACGCTTCAGCGCGTGGAGCGGCTCGGCCAATTTCGAAAAATCCTTCACGAAATTCGCATAAAATCCGGCCATGCCAAGGAAACGGCGAACTGCCTTCAAGTTCTTCGGAAGAGGGAATTGAACAATCGCCTCCACTCTCTCCAGCAAGATTTTAATCCCATCTTCAGATAGAGAATAGCCTAGAAACTTAATCTCCGACTGCGCCAAGTGAACCTTGTCACGGTTCAACGTGAAACCCGCCTTCTCCAGGCGACCAAACACTTCTCTCAAGTGGCCTACGTGTTCCTCCATGGAACGCGAATATATCAGCAAATCATCCATGAAATTGTAGACATACTTATGTTTCAAATCTCCAAACGAGTCAATCACTCGCGAAAGCACTTGACACCCTACACTTATGCCCATAGGCAACTTGGTGAATTCAAATAACCCCAACGGAGTACAAAAAGCTGTAGCCTTATGGCTTTTAGCCGACAACGGAATTTGGTAGTACGTGGAGTTCAGGTCCAGGATGGAGAAGACCTTCGCCCCATGAAAATTTGCAAACGCATGCTCCAAACTCGGCGTGGGAAATGCGTCAGGCGACCTTCTGATTAAGAAGTCGATAATCCACTACCATTTGATATCCGCCCTGAGACTTCGGGACTAAGAAGGCTGGACTCGCATACTGGGAAAAACTTTTCTTCATCACACCTTTATCTAACAACTCGCGAACTATCTCTCGCAGGGCTTGCAAACGGTGGGGTGAGCATTGGTAAGGTCGGGAACGAACCAGTACGTCATCAGTCAGATCCAACTGACACACCATGCCCTTCACCGTACCTAACTGATCAGAAAATAACTTCCCCTTCAGACCTGAATTTTTTCTGGAGGAAGGAAATTTTTTTTTATGCTCTAATGCTCTTAGGTGATTTTTTAATGGTTTTAGAAGCAAGATTTATAAAAATATATGTACCCGTTTTCAAAATATACTTGGTACACAATTGTGTACACTGGGTCTCAATCAACACTGAAATCATTGTAGACAAAAAAAAATTTTTTTTTGGTGCATTTAAATGTGAACTCTTTTACACATACAATAGATATAAAATTCACCATGTTTTAGTTAACAATAAAATGTGTCGAGAATTATGTTCATAATGTCTTTTAATTTAAATGAAATGAACGGAAACAGTTCTTTTCCTTTGACAAACAAAGATGTACATTACATTTTTCACATTTTACTCTCGAACGTCCCTTGCATTCTGGAAATTTGCACCTAGTAGGCAGTGCACCATTTTCATGAAGAGGCCAGTGTTGTGCTCCGTCGTACTGAATCTCTTCAGGAGGCCTAGTTTCTCCTCGTAGCCTTTGAACAGGAGTATCTGGAGGTGTGGCAGATGGTCGACCTCTTTTTTTATTGGGGATATCCTTCCCACTTAACACCAGAACATCAGCCAGTCTCATACGGAAATGTAGGAGATCCATTATTTTCTTCGTTGGTAGACCAATTTCTCTGGCACTTGTCCTGTATTCCAGCCAACTCTGTACCACAGCAAAATCAACAGCATGGAAAATTGCTCTGAGTGTCCATTTCTTGGATTTTATAAAAATTCTGTAATATGACATCAATTGATCAAAAAGATCAACTCCACCCATGCCATGGTTGTAGAGTTTTACAATCTCTGGTCGATTGATAGTAACATATTTATTTTGTTTCTTGTCCCAGCATTCAACTTTGTCAGTTTCTCCTTTCCCAATAAAATTTGAACCTAGAACAACTGTTTTGTTGTCAACCCATTTTACCAGTGTTATGTCATCTGTGCTGCAAATTTCTTCTGAAAATCCTCTTTCCTTCTTCAGTGCCTCCTTGTCCGGCATTAGAGGAGGATTAGCAAAACGGTTGACTCTGACAGTTCCAGCAGCACAGATGTTTTCTTGTTTCAATGCTTGGAAAAGCTTGTATGAGGAAAAAAAATTATCAGAATATATCTTATGCCCCATTTCTTGTTTTATTCTCTGGGCTAACTGTAAAACTACTGTTGGTCCTTGCCCAAATGCCTTCAACAAAGATTCTTGAAATTCAGTTGATGCTCCCTGATAAAGAATAAAATCATAAGCTTGTCCACTCTTACCACATAACATGTACATTTTGATACCCCATGGAGTTGGCTTGCCCTTCACATACTGTTTCACAGAGAGCCGCCCTGTAAATGGGATCATTGCCTCATCAACTGCTAACTCTTCCTCCGCAGGTAACTCTAGACATCTGTTACGCAGGGCAGTATATATAGGCCAAACTTTATAAAACCTGTCTTTATTGTCAGCTGGTATATCCATGTTGTTAACAAGGTGCAAATTTGTTCTCACTTGGAAGAACCTGTCTCTGGACATACTGTCTAAGAATAATTGCATTTTCAATGTCGTGTCCCAAAACATTCGAACTCTGGGAAATTTTAGAGTTCCCATAATTATATGAAGTCCAAACAATGTTTTGAGTTCTGCTGGTGTAGTTTGTTTGAAATTGCTAATCTCTCCACTTTGCAATGCATATATGTTTGTCATATCAGCCATAGTGCAGAAGAGGTCATCAGGAATGTACTTACTGAAATAAGTTGAAGGAGAAAGCAACTCCTGGTCTTCAATATGTTGTTCCCATTCAGAATATGAATCCAATATAGAAATTGGGCGATGACGCCACTTGATGTCCTTTTTTTCTGATAAAATGTATTTTAAATCACTAATTTCATTGTTAGTAACTAGATCACTTTCTTGAATATCGCTATTGTTGTTGTCATTGTCATTACACACATCACTTTCATTATTTGGCATTATCTGGTAATCGGTTTCTTCCCTGTTTATTTTGTCAGCCCCCACTCTCACTTTTTTTTCTCTTGAAGTACAGGAAGACTGTACCTCAGGAACTGTTTCTTCATCTGACGAAAAATCTAAATCTGACACCTCCCCATTCATCAACATCTCTAAAATGGCATCTGCATCTTGCTCCATGTTGAAATACTGTTTTTTGGACATGATGAACAGAACTGAAAAATTAAACAATCACAAATAATAATCTCAGTAGTAGTATTTTTCTGTGCATAAAAATATACAGTAGGCCTAACTACGTTGTCGATAACTGGAGCTTGAATCCTGTGCTAACTTTCCTAATTGTAACTTATTATAACAATTACCAGTAATACAACAGACTTGTCTATTTTGAAGAAATCCCAATCAAAACTCATAAAAATTGTTAGGATAACAAAGAAACAGTTACAACAAGCACTTCACATCAAGTAAACACAAAAGTTCTAGGTTATGTCACATATTGTTTACTATACTGCCTGAGACCTCATGGTTACGATTGTACACTGAAAATCGTTGCTTCTTTTTATGGACTAAAATAATTAGTTTTGAAATATTCACTGTTGTAATAAATAAACTGATCATTTAATAATTTGCATGCAAAATAACAATAATAACATTCAATTATACAGTGGAATATAACTTAGCAACCACAATCGTGTATTCTGAAGATCACAAGCTGCTGTGCACTGCTACATTCACTTGTTGATATTTTTATAGTGCTGCACAACAGATGGCAGCACTTGTGCATAATGAAAAGATTGAACATTCACAAACGTGTACATGAGGTTTCCATTGAGGAAACATTTTTCTGTTGCAGCTAAGACACAGTAAAAATTAATGTACACAATTGTAGCCAGTGTGTCTGAAAGGGTTCGGAAAATCTCGCACCAACTGATGAAGCTTACGCGACTCAGAAACACACAATGACCAGGTTCCCGCTACTACGCCTTTCCAGGCCTCTTCCGTACATGGGAAACTCTGAGAATGCATGGAGGAAACATCCACTGGAAAAAAATCATAGTGACGCGATTTTTCGAATGCAAAGGAAAACGAAGACGTCGCAAAGTCTAGCTGCATGTAGTGTCTCAAATTTGAGATTGGAAATTTAAGCCATTACCTAAATGTTCGAGACTTGCGAAAAGTGTTTTACAGTCATTACATTAGTATGACAACACCCGGACAGGCAACTAGGTTAAGAATGTTGATGATCACCATTTATGCGTAATCACATAAGTAAGAAGCTTGCTAACTAGGCCACTGGAGTATCGTAATATTACCGCATAAGCAGCAGAGAGGACCAAAGGCCCCACCCCCCAGCCACAGGGCATAGCCAATGAGAATATAACTTTGGGGATTGAGAACAAAAGGGAGGAGTTAACTACCCTCTCGTCAACGGCTGAATTAGCAAATTGAAACTATAAATTACTGAATTTAGGAGACTTCTGATCTGATCTTAAACAGAATATTGAGTTGTCAGCCGGAGGCCCTAGTCGATATGTGTGCCACGAGATGGTGGATGGCGACAGTTATCTACATTTGTATTACAAGTAAGTCTCTTTGCTCATATACGCCATGCTGTTAAACCTTAGTGTTGATAAAAGTGTTGTTGTGTGATCTTAAGTGCAGTATCCAGTGTACCCCAGCGAGAGCCAGGGTAGAATAGGGTAGAAATGGAGTAGAGAGTGACAAACCATGAAGGGAAGCAACATTCTCACGGTACCTCCCCCCGACAGAGAAATTAGAAAGAGCTTAGCGAGAAGGTGTGATGTAAACAGGCCGAAGGCGGCCCTTTTAATGTAAATATCAATGTAAATAGACCAGTGTACATAGGATAAGATGTACGCCGGGAGTTTTGATTCACCCATTCGTAACCATCCCGCCCACGACCGATCCCGAGCAACCATAACCAAGACAGCCGAGGGCCGCGAAGATTTTAGCTAACTGGCCAGTGACAGACCCCCTCCCCCTGAGGTGTAACACTGCATTTTTGCAAATTACAGAAAATCCAGTCCTAATATACAGGGCATGGGAGAATTATCAAACACCAAGAAATCGTACTTCCATGAAAAAGAGTGAATCTTTAACTGCAACGAGACGGCCTCCTTGATCACACGGCTGTGGCCACTAGCTGTGTTAATCTTATGGTTTGCCTCCTTTATCACACACGGCAATCCCAGGCTCTGAATCTGCTGAAAAACGTCTTGTCGGACGAAGGAAAACGACGAACCCGAATCCAAGATGGCTGGCATACAATAATTTTTGATAGTCAACATCACCCATGGGATATGGCCACCATCTTTTACGGGCAAAATTCGCTGAGCAGACCTCTCACTCTCAGGCGCTCGGAGCTCAAGAGGATCTTTCACCTCCGAGCGCCTCCCCCCGTTTCCCTGCCTCCTTACAACAGGGACATTGGAAGACAAACAATTCTTAGCAATGTGACCCACTCGGGTACACTTATAACATCTAATCTCCCGGCTACGCGGCCGAGGACTCTCAGTCATGACCATACTAATTGGACACCTATCCCGCTCGTCCCGCGAAACTTTCCCTCCGGGAACACAACACTCTAGACTCTCCCTGCGCTGGTCAACAGCACGGGCTTCAGCAATATGGCTCGTGAGGGCATACAACTCTTCTACCGATCTCGGTTCAGACTCGAACGTCAACCAAGGTCGCACACTGGGGTGAATATTCTGAACAATACGGCGGACTAATGCCGACTCAGAAACGTGGTATTCAAGGATACCCGCGGCATTCACTACAGACGTAATGAATTGGGCCAAGTCTTCTCTGTGACCTTGAAACCGGTCTAAGACATACTTGAACAAGAAACTCTCTCTGACGCGAGGAGGAAGGAATTGAGACAGAATATCTGAACAAACCAATGCCCAGTCAGAAGATAGCCGCAAATGTCCGCTAATTATATTCATAAGCTTTCCAGCAGTTCTCGCGACTAACAGGGCCAAGAATTCCCCATCTGTTACTAACTTCAGGTCATAGACCTGCTTGGCTCGAACTAGAAATCGAAACACTCGCTCCGGCTCGGTATCAGTCAAAATGGATATACTCGTCACCAATTCAGAAACCACATTCCCCCGTAATTTACTCTGGGCATAACAACTTTGGGCACGGACATCGCCCGCTTGAATCTTTATAGCACTAGGTCCTGCAACGTCCGTACTCGCGGCAAACTTATCTGTGATCTGAGGAGGTAGACAGACTTTGAGCGCTCTCCACTTTTCCTTCAGCCGCTTCTGCAATTCGTCCAAGGTGCCTTGAACGGACACGCCCAACTCCGACGCAAACTTCTCGGCCTCGTCTCTCGGAAGATTGTGAATCCAAGCGAGTGGCATCGCAACAGCATAGAACAACACCAAAAAATTATATATGAGACCACGGTCAACTCTACACTCCACAAGCAAGTCCTGATGAAACCGACCCAAGGTCTGGTCGAAACACCGGAACCCCAAAGGAAAGTCCACTACCGTTAACCACGTCAACTTCAACAACCACGCTATGCTACCACTTTGAGCCGGGTCCCTTGACCCTGTGGGTAAAGAACCCAGTTCTTCTACCCACTTAGACCCGTGAACCCCTGCTCAATATGGGTAAGGGACAGGCTCATAAGAAACGACTTGCTTGTAACGTGATGCACTATGCCTCCCTAAGGTCGAGTAAGGGATCTCGAGAGAGGAAAACCACTGTCGGCACTATGGGCAAGGCTGGACGGATCCGCTAGTCAGAACTGGTAGGGAACACACTGCACAAGTATACATAAACACCACTGGCGTTTCCAAACATGTAAATAAATATATATTAATAACATATGTATACAGGTGAACTCTGTCCAATGGGCAGGAACTGGTCAGAACATGTGATAAATAATTAATACAGAACTACACTGTGCCTAGCCGCACTGAACTCAAGTCAGGCACGCCTCATGGCGTCTTTCTACTTCTCCAGTACCAGCCTATACTTAGGCAAGCCTTGAGGACACTAGGAAATATAAACAGGTTACATACACGCCTGAGGGGCGATCTGCTGTTTAACACGACCCTAAACAAAACCAAATTATCTTACGCCACACGGCGTTCATAATCGAAGGAAAACAATTACTACAGTAAGTCACTTGTATTCCTGAATTACAAACTCAAAGATTTACCTCATGACTTGATCCACCCTTGATCATGTCGTGAGGGCACTCTTCCCCCTTCAAGCACTGCTGCGGGCCGAAACCGAATTTCCAACAAGATCAGTTCAACTTTACGAAACCAAATTTAGACGCAGCGATGTTACCTTTCTGAGGTCAACGGNGTTCTTGCTGTCTAATTTGGCAGTTTCCAGACTTTTGCGTGCCACTGCATAACTACTTGTTAGTCTAGCTTCTGATTTTGTTACATGGTTGTTATAAGCATAGTACTCACTAGCTGGTTCTTTCTACAGTCCTTGTCGTAAGTTTTGTAACCTGCCGAAGAGTAATTATAATGGCATGTAACCTGTTGCGCAATGCGGCGTGTTGTGAACAAATGCAGCATAACTTACCCAGTGATCCCAGTTACTTAAATCGTTTCATGTTTCATGGTGTATTCTACCAAACCTTTGTATATTCATTCATTAGACCCATTTTATTATTATGGGTGCCTGCTAGTGGTCTATATATTTTGAACCTGTTCATGCTAGCATGAACTTTTGCATATCTCAAAATCTCATTTTTTCCTTGGTCGTGAGCTCTTTGCCCTTTATGTCTTCCCCTTAAGCAGCATCACCATTTTCCTCTCTTATACCCTGATACATTTATTTTCTGCAGTTCCTTTGTACATCCTGCTTAATCCATCAGTATTTGAATTTTCCTTACCCTTCTTGTATATAATGGTATGATCGAATTCATGTATTTTTAATTTTAGTCTCATTAGCCTTGAAATTGTGTCATTCATTTGAAAAATCAAAGTCAGTTTGTGGTCTGCCACAATTGTAAATTTCTTTCCCCAACTGTATGGTCTGAACAGCCTACAGGCTCAAACAGTTGCCATAAGTTCCCTCTCAGTGCTGGAGGAATTCTTTTCTAGAGTGGTCAACATGTGGCTTGCGTAAGGGACGGGTAAATCTTTACCCATACTTCCTTGGCCCAACACACTCCCAGTTATGTTGGAACTGGAATTGCATGTGACAATGAATTCTTTATCAAAACCTGAATATTGAATTAGAGATTCATTACACAAAATGTGCTTTAGTATCTGAAAAGCCATTTCTAGCTCTTCTCTGGAAACATAAGGTACATTTTTCCCTATTAGTTTGTGTAGTGGCTTGGCTATTGGGCTGAATTTCCTGTAGTATCCGGCAAGTCTTAAGTGGACCTTACACTCTCAATAATATCGTTACTTCCAAAAGCCTTGAATATTATAATAGATTCTCGCAGGAAAGCATATATTGCTATAATTTTAGCGTTAGGCACAAAATAAAATACGTTTTGGAGACTGGATTCTGTCCCCGTCCTCAGGTAAAACCTACTCTGTTGGGTTCAATAGATATAGCTGGTCCCCATCTCCAGACACCTGTGCCAGTTTCAAAAAGGGTACATAAATCAAACACAACAGAAAACATCTGCGAGAGCTAAAAAATATTCAGTTATTGAAACTCCACACGTATGGGGGCCTTGCACCAGAGAAATATCTCAAATGAAATCATTGCTAGAGAGAAACAATACTTCTTGTTGTACCAACACAAGAAAAACAGATAGTTTCCACTCCAACTACACTTGATGGCATTGTAGTCTCTTGACTTCTGTTGTGATGACCGGAGTCCAGATTGGAGAGGGATCCACACTGGGTTGACTGATCGGATGGTCCAGCAGAGACCTGTGGGCTGATTCCTTGTATTTCTTGTATGCTGTGTTGGGCTCAATCTGCAAGACCTTTGCTTCATTCCATCAAATTTTGTGGCTTTGTATTATTACCAGCCGCTGAATTCACATGCAATTAACTATTCATTGTTGGGTCAAGATACTCAAATAGGTGAGAAGTCCAAGTTCCTATTTTCGATTCGCCTTTAAAAAAACGGTCACCATTCGATTCCAAGTCCTCAAGATGACTACCACCGGCCAGCGTAATAATATGTTCTGCTAAAAGAAATCGGTGTGACAGAATCAGAGGATTACAGAAACTATTTTCATATGAGTGAAGGATTATTTGGTAAGTTGCTGAGAATTTGATTGGTTTCATTCTGGTCTGTCACATTAACAATTACAAAGGCAAAAATAATACTGTCTAATGTGACTAAGTTTTATCACTTGAGGATTTATCTTCCTTACGGATCATCCTCAGAGGGTATCAGTACTTTCGGAAACTACTATTCCAATAGATGTTAATTGTATGGGTACACATTTGATGTCTAAAATGCACAATATATGCAATGTTCAACCTTCCACATTCATGGTGGCCTTCTTGGTGTTAAAACTTTTTAAAAAAGTTTGTTTTAAAAACTTTCAAGATCAAGCTTAAAATTTATGAACCATACAGGTTCACGTCAAATCTCCTATTGTTATTCGTGGAGGTGGCTGGTCCTGTGCCGCCTGTTTATCTTGAGAAAGGAGATTCTGCAAATATATTATGTGTATTGTATTAATTTCAGTGACCCTACTGTATACTGTATTTATGCATGTATAGGCTGCACATTTTTTGCCAAAAATTCAAGAGGAAAACTGGGGTGCGGCTTA